GAATACTTAATCAGATTGTACTCAATGCCTTTGTTATACTAAAAGAACAACTTTTCATTCATACTTCTAAAAAAGAACTGTCTAATGAATTAATTACTTTAATGAATCCAACTTTCGATTATTAGACTCTGACCTCGAACTCAACCACGAAGCTTAACATTGTTGACATGATTAAAGGAATTGTTCCTAACCACTTATTTTTCTGCATTAACAATTTCACAAAATGCAACAAAAAAACCATAAATATTCTTTCAGTTTTATATGAACATACACAAACTCAAGCAATTACATTAATTTGGATTCCTAGATGTGATTTGACCATTGCCACAGAACTGCGACTTGGAATAACAAAAAAGAAAAAACTATACACCAAAGCTCCCAAACAATCTGCATCTATCATTTCATCTCTTCTCCCTAACTCTTCTCATACTTCCTCAATGAGTAATAAATTTACTAACTTATTTCATAATTCATACATTCATAGTCGATCTTGGCCTCTTTTTAAAGCAGTAAAAACCAGTTGTTCTTTTCTCTTTTCATTAGTCATGTAGTGACTTTTCTTCTTATAGTAGTTGTTTAGGAACATGACAGGACAACCGGTTGGTTTGGTCGGAGTTGGTTAAACCCTTCGAAGAAGGCTAAGCAGCATTTACTTTATTTTTCTACTTTTGTACCCGTCTTGGAAATTTTCTTTTTTTTAAAAAAAAAAAATTGAATTTTGAATTTTTAATAAATAAATGCTTCACTGTGTCTTTAAAAAAAAAAAAAAGTAAGATTGTTTATAAAAAATTTTAAAACTAAGGTAGCGTTAAGGTGCCATAGTTGGGTTGCTGTGATTTTTTTGTTTGTGTAACTATTTTAGTTGTGATTTATTTTTATTTACAAAAAAAAAAAAATAAAAATAAAAAATAATAATTATTTTACAAATACAAAAATTGAAATAGAATTTAGTTAATTGAAGTAAAGGAAATACGAGATTATAGTAAGTTTTAGTCTCTGTTTATTTCTTTCTTGCTTTTTTTCAATTCGTCTATCAGACTTTAAGTATCTACATCTAATATAAACGTTTTTCCTATAGGTCCGCTTTGTGGGTTTCCAGCGAATTCAGTTACATTAAGTTTAATAATTTTGAATAAATTATTACTTTGAGTTAGTTTTATTTCTACGATAAAACCTGTGAGAAAGACGAAGATGGAACTAATTGGTAAATTATCTTGGGCGATGTCTATAAGATCAGCCGCATTTGCCATTATCTAGGTATTTGATTAAGATAATTAATTAATCGAAGAGAAGAGGTTAAAATTTTTTTGGTTAGTTAGATAATTAATTATTAATTAGTTGATTAGATTTGTTTACTTCTATAGCATCATCGTGAGGAGGTTGTTTTGGGAAGTGCAAATTTTTCAGTAAATCTTAAAATATTTCCATTAGTAAAAAGGGGAATCCATTTTGGTACTTAAGAGTTTTTGGAAAAGAAAGTGGTTATTCTTAATTCTAGGTTTTCGTCTGCTTCTCTTCTTAATACAACGATTGCTTCTTGTACAATATATTTTGTATATCTTTTTCAATTACTGAGTGAATTATACAAATTAATGTAAACTTTGCCAGCATGATTTCTTGTAGCTCTTTTTAAAAATTATGGTAATAGAAAGGTGGAAATGAGACGCTTTTATTATTCATTTTTTTTTCTTTTTAAAATACTAGTAGTAAGAAAAATAGTATTTTTTTCTCTTTTTTTCTGAGAATAAAGTTGGGAATTTCATGAAAAATTTACTTTTTTTTTTAAGAAAAAGATTTTTTTTTTACAGCTAATTTCAAAAGTCATACAGTAAATATATCTGAGACTTTTCCAAGAATATTCAAAAAAGTTATTCTTCATGATTTTTGTAGGTAAACAATGTGCCGCTATATTTAGGGAACTGATCTGAATATAGCAACATGATTTTCTTCAAAAAAAATTGTATATCGAGTTTTACCAGTTTTTGTTGATTGATTGGCAACTGTCCTGTGACTTTTGAAATTAGCTGTAAGATAATAAATTCAGAATATGTTTTGAGTAATCCAGTAATTTGATAGAGATTGTTATTGCATTATCTAATAAATATATTTACTTAAAATAATTGTGATGATTTTTTTTCTCAATTAAGTTATTTATAGGAAATTTGAGTAACACCATTTATGTAATATTTTTTGTATGACACATGGCACAATTAGATCTTTTTTCTCTAATTTCTAAATATATATATTGAACCGCTATTTGTAGAAGCATAAAGCATAAAATGTGAAGCATAATTCATAAAGCAAACATAAGGCTTTACAATCAAACCTCTATATAACGATACAAATGTTTTGAGAAAAAAATATCGGTATATCAAGTTATCAGTATATTATGAAAATTTTATGTAATGATATTTATATATTATGTTGATCAATATCGGTATATAATAATAAGCCAATCAAATTTCAATAATAAATATCTTAAGAAAAAAGTTAATTTTAAAGCAATATTATTTAAAAAATCAATTATTAAAATTTTTTAAACTCCTAAAAAACAAACGAAAAAGATCTACAATAAAAATAATGCCCGTTACTCGTTCGACTTTAGCAAAGAAAAACCAACGTA